AAAGCTATTGATTAAAGATATTTAACTGTGTTCAATATGTTTATTGAGTTCACTGCAGTGTACTAGCTAATAATGAAAAACTGGTTTTCTGTTCTTTAGAATGACTATGAGAGACTTGAGTGATGAAGTCTGGAGTAATAATTTAAATTTTACTAAAATAATATGGACTTGTGCTATGAAAAATCAGAATCAGGTAACATACTTGCTGAATTTGAATAATTAAATTGCCTGCTGAATGGAGGTAATCTTTTCTCTATAAAGACAAAAAACATACAGACAATTCTAAACACAAAAATATAATAATACAGTGTATTATTTAAGATGAAGGGTACTAGCTGAAAAACCTAAACAATGTAATGTTTCAATCTCAAGAAAATAAATCTAATAAAGCTGAAGGTTATAGAGGGTAAATGAGAATTTAAGCTGAAGATGAGTAATAGATTCAGACACTTTTGAGTTGGCTGCATTGACAGAGACAAACAAATGAGCTGGGAGACCTGCAAGAAAGTATAGTAAAACTAACAGGAATGATCACTGATAACAATATGGAACGTGAAGGAAGTAAATAAGGAGCAGGGTATGGTTAGGTTAATAGGCTAAAAATGACTTTTCATAATATGAAAAGTTATAAGACAATAGATAAGCAGTTATGAAAAGAATGAAAACTGAAAGACCTGTTTGTTCAGCGATACAATTAACATGGAAGAACATCAAATTGACTCAATACATATACTGTAGAAGAAACAAGATGATTTAATAACAGAGGAAAAGATTCTGTTAAAGACACAAGTGGAGCACTTGACCAAGATGATGATCATGATAGACTTATTCTGTTTATCTTGATTGTTCTGTTTGTTCTATAATATTCAGTATGTTATTTTGAATTCTAACTTTTTACTCAAATTTACTGTATTTTTGTCATGTTGATCTGTACATGACTTTAACTGATTGTATAAAACATTTGCTGCAATGTCACATTGCACAATCCATCAAATATCCATCAATTATTTAATTAATCAATTAACTGTTTTATCCAGTTTTAGCCCCACAACCCTAATCCTAAGAGCACACAGAGGAATCCCATGGGAAGAACATAAAAACTCCACACAGCAACTGTAGCATCCCAGGAATTTAACCAAAGGCTCCAGCAGTCCAAGGCGGTGATGTTAGCCAGTGTGCAACCCCATACCAAACATCTGTAGCAATTGAAAAATGGGGTGTTGATGCATCAGAGACCTGAACAGCATCAGCAAGACCACAAATTGAAGAACAATTTAATTAAATAGAGTCAAAGCAGCACTATTTTTTAGTTAAATTCCAGCAGAGGTTATAAAAGCAAACTTTATAACAAAGCCAGATATACTACATGATCTACTCAGAAGCACCTGGAAAAGAGTAAAAAATGCAGGAGAGAGAGCTGATTTTCAACAGGTACAGGTACAAAAGAGAAGTGACATTTCAGTGTTTGTGGGAACATGACAGGAATTATGCTTCTGTCTTTACAAAGCAAACTTCTGTATAGGATCAAACTGGATTGATTGCAAGCAGCATAGGACAAAAAAGCTTGAAACTTAATAACTGCTCTTTTGGAGTTAAGGATGTGTAAAGATCATTTAGCAACATTACAAATCACTGTGGAGCTGACACCAGAATGGCAAACATTACTCCATGATTTTTCTAAACTTTTATAAGGCTTTATATCATTTTGTGATACTTTGTGAAATCTATTAGACTACTAAATAATAATAATTCCTTCCACTTATATACAGTATAGTACTGCTTTTCTGGACACTCCACTCAAAGCATTTTACAGTAATAGGGACTCCTCTCTGCCTCCACAAATGTGCATCACCCATCTGGATGATGCGATGGCAGCCATAGTGCGCCAGAATGTTCACCACACATGAGCTAACAGTGGGGAGGAGAACAGAGTGATGAAGCCAATTCATAGAGGGGGATTTTTAGGAGGCCATGATTGGTAAAGGCCAATGGGAAATTTGGCCAAGACACTGGGGTAACACCCCTTCTCTTTTCGAGAAACACCCTGGGATATTAATGACCACAGAGAGTAAGGACCTTAGTTTTACTTCTCATTCGAAGGACAGTGACTTTTTACAGTATACCGTCACTATACTGGGGCATTAGGACCCACACAGACTTTGGGGTGAGTTCCCCCTACTGGCCCCACTAACACCTCTTCCAGAAGCAACCTTAGCTTTCCCAGGAGGTCTCCTATCCAGGTACTGGCCAGGCTCAACCCTGCTTAGCTTCAGAGGGGGCACATTTAATGTTTTAACCATAATCAAGCACATGTACTGTACATCACTCTAGGTTCAGTGAATATATGACTGAATAGATGACTTCCCTTTGTTACTCCCCTTCATTACAATTGGTAGGGTAACAAGAAAGACAATCTAAGGAAGAACAGTATTCATTCATGAGCTTACATTGCAACTGTAAGATTTAGTATGTGAAGGCAGCACCTGCTTATTGTTGGCTACACCAATTTGGACAAAGTACAATCTGGATCTGCTTGATGCAAATGGAGCAAAAGGCAAATGGGGATGAAAATAAATGAAAGCAAATGGATTATAAACACCCTAAGGTGTGAAATTATGAAGACACAATAATGTTGATACGTGTTTATTACAATGTTGAAATTTTTTAATGAAATATTAATCTCCTTTTACCTAAAAGTTTTTAAAAAATATTTAAATGGGAAATGCAACACTATTTTTATATTTTGGGATTAGAAAGAATCAGCATTGATGAGTGCATTTCAAACCACAATAAAAGTCAAATGTACACAGTACCTCCAATTTACTTCACAAAATAGATTAAATTTCCAGGTATGCGCAGTGCCATATTCTGCGATTCAGAATGAGGCAACAAAACTATGTTCCAATTTCTTTGTAAACAAAACCAGCTTGCAAACACACCACTTTTAATCCAATAGAAATATTGCTCTCGATTTCTAGACAGTTTTGTTGACAAATACTACTTTCTTGTTAGCTCTGCATACAGATCAGTTTGGAACATTTCTACAGTGAAATGTCTGCTGCACAACCTGTACTTATTCGCTTGTACATTGCATTACATTAGTCATTACAGTGACTAGTGAGCAGGAAGGGCTGGTTTACCTTGCACATTATGTGGACTCTTGCTCTCGCCCATTGCGACGCCAGGGGTTTGCGACATGTTGACTTACAGCACTTTGACAAAGTTCACAATTTTGTGCTTGATTAAAAATTTGTTAGCTTTTTCTTTACCATCAATACATTTATTTTTACTGAGATTTAATAATGATCCCAAGTTCCCTTTTAAAAATCACGAGGCTTAAAGAAATAAGTACTTTTTTCCCTCATGTTTTATTTAAAGCTTAAAATTCAGAAGTATTTAAAGAAAGCCCTATGTGTATTTTAGAAAATCAAATCTTTGGTAGACAGTTATAAAAACCCAAAACCCACACGCCTGAACTGCAAAGTACTGTAATATGAATAGTCAAATGTCTGTAAATGACATTCCTTCCCTTTCTTGCTGGTCCCTGGACGTAATGCCTCTGGTGTTGTGTGATGTCCAGGATCGGTATAGAAGGAAATCCTCAAAATCACTAAAGCTTTTTAATTACTTAGAGATCTGACTACTCTTTGTCTTGCAAAGCCAGCTTTGTTAATACTGTATATAACTTCCTATTATTTTTCGACTATAAGCAATTTTATTTTAATTAATACTGTCATCTTCTGCATCAGTCCCATCAATTTACTGAAGTTGCACATTTTACATTTTAAATAATTCAGATGATAATACTGTCCCTCATGGAACACAAGCTTCTGTTGCTTTAATCTATATTGGTTCCTAGAATAAGCAACATCAATACAGCAATTACTTTGTGAAAGAAATTTACATAATTGTATTAGAAGGTACTTTTAAAATCCCTCCATTGTTTCTACAACTTGAATCAAATGAAAGGTTGCTTAAGCCTTATAGTTTCGATATTGGCAATTTCAACATTGTATGTACTAAAATACTTTAGGTACTAAGATATAGAAGTACAGAGTGAATGAGTCTAAACTCTTTAATTATTCTGACTGGGAACAATTCTTCAGTTTTGATATAACTCATATCAATCCACGATTGAAATGGAAAACAATGTATTTAACCATCAGCATTTTACGTTCTACATAATTATTAGCATTTTCTAAGCCACAAAAAGATTTAGAACAAAAAAAAAATGATAATCTACATGGAGAAGCAACACTCCCAATTACAAAAAAATACTAGCTTTTGCCACTACATTTGGAGCTCATACTGTATGTGAACTGTAGTTGCATTGCCCAGCTTATGACAGACTAAATGATGCCCTGGGGTAAAATTTAATATACACCTGGCCAATTCAAGATACAAACATATACATACAGTATATAAACCAGATACTTTTCACGCTTAGAAATCTTTGTCATTATATTCAATGGTTGCATACATTTACCAACAGCTTCATTTTTTCTATGTACAGTACTGTATAATTTTGGGAGTTTAATTAGAAAATATGAATGTTAGCCTTGTAGTTATTTCTCTTCAGTCAGAACACAACATATTTTACACTTATATAATTTAATTTAAATTATATTATTTTTTAACAAGGTGCACTAAGGTAGTTAATGAAAACAATTCAACTTGAGAAATCATCTAGTGTATGTACTCTAAAACCCCAAGAAATTAATATCAGACTTCATTAGAAATATCCAATAGCGATTAGTAAATGTAAAAGAGAATTGTTAACCAAATTTTGTGTTGCTACTTTATCTGCTCATTTTTGTGTAGAAAAAAGGTAGTAACGGCTGTTCATATCTGTCTTTAAATGACGTGGATACTGGATTCCTTTTCCCTATTTTCCTTGACATGCAGTATTGATGGGTTTAACACTTTCTCCGGCGACTCGGAGCAGCATAAATGAGCTCTTTACGCAGAAGGCTTCATATCGAGGAGAGTCAGAGCACGGAGCAACACAGATCTTCGAAGCATAGAAAGAAAACTTGTGCAAGCAGCATACACAATAAGGCATTAGAAGTGAAACATATAGTTCATCATATTCTTGCTACGAATGCTTTTTGGAAAGTTTTATGGACATTTAACAATTCAATAGCCTAACCACTGTGAAGACAGTCAACACTCAACGCTTCTTCTAGTTCCTCAAAAGAAAACCTTAACTTCAATCAATGAAAAGGGATCCCATCGGATGACAGCTTTTAGATAAATACACCAAAGCCTTGTTTTTGCGAAGGGAGATCTTTTTGGAAGATAAGCAAGAGAGACCCTGAAGGGATGCCCTGTTTGTGATAACTATTTTTACCACCACCGTAACGCAGTAGTTACGTAGTAAAAAGTACGAAAAGACATCCGAAGGAAAGAAAGTGATGATAATGACCAAGTGAAAGATGTAACGATTTGCAGTACACAACAACTGTATGCTGCGAAACATCTGTGGGTGTTTCAATTGGAAAGCGGTTTATCGACTATCGGAGACCATTACCAGTAACACCTTAATATTCAGCACTTTCTTACAAGAACAGCTCCTTCGCATTGACAGCAGCATTTAACTTATTCACCATAAACAACGATTCGCTGTAAGAACTGAACTGCAAGTTGTGCAAGTATACACACTTGGATATAAAGGCTAGGAGATACTGTTTATTCTCACTATTCGTTCTAGTATTTCCTTTAAAATAGGTCGCAGTTACTTTAACATGACCATGGAGGAGCTCTTAAATAACTTGTCGTTTTCTGGCAATTCCTCCTTCCCTTTAAACTTCACAGATGAAACGGTGCCGGATGGCCGGGGAACTGTTGATTTTATTATACGGTGCGTTATACCCTCTGTCTACATTCTCATCATTACCGTGGGATTACTGGGTAACATAACCTTGGTAAAGATCTTCATCACCAACAGCGCGATGAGAAGCGTGCCCAATATTTTTATTTCCAGTTTGGCTGCTGGAGACCTTCTGCTTTTGGTAACTTGTGTACCAATAGACGCGTTCAGATACTTTTTCGATGAGTGGATCTTCGGGACCATGGCGTGCAAGTTGATCCCCGTGATTCAACTCACTTCAGTGGGAGTCTCCGTTTTTACTCTTACCGCTCTAAGCGCTGATAGGTAAGTTAGGCACCTATTATTTATTGAATTTATATGTCTTTTCTAATGATGCGAAACAAATATTTTCATTGTATTTGATTCTAATAAGCTCAGAATCCAATAAACAAATGAACGAAAAGATTTCAGAATTGCCTTATTGCTATCTGTTGGTCTACTGTATGCAGACATTTTCTTGAGCCTTAATTATTAAACATCTCTTCTAAAATGCATGATATTCATGTTATAAGCTGCATGTCCAGTTCGATGGACTTGTTGAAGATTCAATCACATTTCAGCTAAAAGATTTAGATTCTAATATGATCTGTATCTATATTGTTTTGTTTTCTCGTTATAAACATCCTAACCAACAAAAGATAATTGTAAGATCGATTTAAATGAAACGTAATGCTGTACATTTATATACTATTCAAAATCACCGTCTCGTGCAATATGACACATATTCGAAAACTTATGGTCTCTAGAGATTCGTCTGTACTATCAATACTATCAGCTTTTCTGAAAACGCAGTAACCTAACACATGTTGAGACAGCAGGAGGATTTACTGGAAATTACGTTAGTTCTGCCAACGTTCTATCGTATTTTTCAATAGTAGCCTACATTCAGAATCAACTTGTCAAAAGTTGAATCTGACTCCTACTGCCATGAGGAAAATATAAAATATATAAATATTGTGGTGATTGATAGCCATTAAATTGTAAAGGCATGAATGTCAGAATACTATATTTTTATTTGCAATTTATTCAAATTGTTTTAATATCGACATTCGAGTTTAATTTTTATTCATATCACAAACATTTAATCCTTGGGATATTTGTTTGTTTCATAAACAATTATCATAAGTCTTTTTGAAAGGTAGTTCCCCGCAAGAGTAAAGACAGTCTCAATAATGACAACGTTATGACAAAATATTTTTTATTGTCCTAAGAAAGGTTACAAACTGGACCATTTATCCTGGTTCTTGTATGAATTACATTCGTGGAAGCAATTATGTAGTATGAAAACATCCTATCTACCACAGTAGCTTCAAGAGAACTGATGACACTCTCAGAAAATATTCACTACAGGCTTTTTTTAAAGATAATAGTCTTTTAATGACTAACCTAGAACTACATCTACAGAAAACGAATTAAGACATTAAACATGTACAGTATATGTATAAACCAATCACAATATGAAGCACTTTTATATGAAAGAACATATTTCACATATGATTTCTATCAAGAAGTGTGTGGTATATTCACTAGTTTTAACTTCTAACAAAATATTAAATTCTAAAAGAGTATAGTTTCACTTTTTAGACAACTACAATTTCCAATATTGGAATATAGTTCCAATATGTGTTATAAGAACCAACAATTTACTCAAAGCCTCAACTAGTGTTTTATACTCATACACCAGCTTTAACTGGCTCATTATTTAAAAATCTTTAATTCACATTGACCAGAATTCCCCAAACCTAGTAGCTAATCCATCACATTTACTATCCATTTTCAGACCTTTTGTCTTGGTCAGGGTTGTAGTCACTTTAACCAAATCAAATCTAATTGCCAGATGTTCCTCATCATTAATATTATTTGTTCCTGTCTATACATCCATAAAGGGTACTTTTTTATAATAGTTATCTTATGTTATAATAGTTATCTTAATGCCTAAGAATTCTGAAAAAGATCACAACAGAATCAAGTTTCTGTATAATGAAGGGAAAATATTGAATAGAGCATGACACTGGAAATTCTAAGCCTTTGTAAAGCATTTTAATTTCAGGAAAAAATTAAATATAATTAATTTAATAGTATGATTTAAAATGATGTGATGGAAATGTGGATAGGGGTTTTGCTGAAGACAAGCTGTGTACAGTAGGAGTGAGCAACTCAGTGGGACAGAGGTTACAGCCCTTCTTTGATCTATGAATATGCTATATTTTTATTTGGCAAAGTATTAAAACCTAGAAAATCAACCTAGTATTAGAATGAATTAAGTATTGTTTAATGTTTTGGAATGAATTTCAGGAGTAACTCTGCACATTTTAGGGCTTGGGGCATTCATCCCTGTGGTGATTAGTCAAGCAAATAGAAATAATTTGAATTTTGCTTGTTTAAAAATATTTCTAAACAGGAAAAAAAACACATTAACCCGTATTTTTCCTGAGAATTTACCACTTAATATAGAATAACTATTATCCTTTAACCTGCAGCGAGTAGGCTTAGTTTCTTTGCATTTATTCTGATGGATTAGCTTCCATAATTGTGATTCATTAATATGAAGGTTTATTGCACCCACCAAAAAACTAGTATGGTAGACACTATAAATGAGAGAATACTGGGAATAACTGAATGTACTGTATATTTTAATATTAAATTAATTACTATGCATGACAATCTTATTCTTTAATGATTTTTGAAACCTCTGTCTGAGGAAAGATTGTAAGGATTGTTGCCCTGTATAATTAAAGTGAATTACGCATTGATTTCCCATTCCTCCCTATCATGGGATAGATTGGTGTCTGTAATAGTGCTCTGAACAAGTGCTGAAATGAATAATATACATCATGACTCTCTTGCCTATCCTAAACAATCTTATTAGACTAAAATACATCATTATCATGTTCCCTTCATACACTGCTTGCCATTAAATCAATCCAAATATAAGAATTAATGCTGGGGTGCTTGTATAGAATATATAGCGTGTGTATACGAAGCAACTGCAAAACTACTGTCACTGTTTATCTGTTTTGCTGCATGCAGTGCAGTCCTTTGCTACAGTCTTATGGACTTTCAGAGAAAAAAGAAGCAGGATTTATTAGTTGGTAGTGTTACTGTAGGGTAAAGGTCGACATGCCTGCAAGTCTTTTTTATGGCAATGCTATTGAAATTAAATGGAAGCAAAACTTCAAGAACTTTAGACCAAAGAGCAACATGTGTTTTATGCAGAGCAAATGTTTAATCAATTACTTTAAAATCACATTCCTTTTCACAATTTCCATGCTTTAATTTCATAATTGTTTAAAATTATATGACTATATCTTTTTCTTCTCAGTCCTTTTAGTCCTGTTATTTATGCATAATCAAGGATAGGTACAGTACAAAGATGCAGTACAGATTAATATAAAATGCTAATAAAATAAATTTTAAAAATGATCAAATGCTTTATCAGCATTGAAGCTGAGATAATGAAAACTTTATTTTTATTCACTGAACTGCAAATGAAAAGTAGAAGTGTCTCTTGTTTTACACAAAGTGTAATGGATGTCTGTTATAAAATGCTCAACCATGGTGTTGAAGCAGGTTCCCTGAAAGTGTGCCACTAGCAGTTGGACAAGATGCTTAGATCTGTTAGCTAACCAGGCAAGCAAGCCTTTTACTGTAGCCTCCTGAAATGTCCGTCAAACTATATAATAGAATGGATCCAAAATAACAGAGCTAATGATAATGAGTAGATAAGAGCTCCGAAGACCTGATTCTTAGTTCTCTATAATATTGCAAAAGGTTAGCACCCAGATAAACTCCAGTACATTGAAATGTAAATAGGCTATGTTTAGAATGCAGTAATGGTGTTTCTCTCATTCACCAATTATCATGAAGCCACTTGTTCCTGGTAAGGGTCACATTTTCCTTGAACCAGATGCAGAGGGCAAGACTGCACCCTGGGCAACATACCTGTTCATAGCAGTGCTGTGACAGTTTACAATTATTAATTATTAACCTAGCTCTGGGAGATGGGAGGGAACGTCCATACTGAAGGTGCTCCATGCCAGAACTGATCCCAGGAGCCAGTAGCTATGAGATAGCAGAAATGATCATTAGAGTGCCTCCCCTTTCTTTTATCAAGACAAACACAGTATTTTCCTTTAAATATTTTCTTGATTCTCCCTTTCAGTTTGCCCTACCCACATGGCAGAATGTCACTCAAAAGCAAGTACAGTATGTACTGTATTATGCGGCAGAAATATATTATTTCTGGATAGCTTGAATTTAATCAATAAGTCAAATTACATGAATCAGTGAAAGTATCTGATAGCAGCATTTTTGCTGTTGTCAGATACTGACTAGATTTGGCTGAATCTAGTCAGATTTCAGAAGCTAAGCAAGGCTCGGACTGGTCAGTACTGGGATGGCAAACATTTAGGGTACTGTTGTCAATAGTGCTGATAGACAACTAAGTAGAATTCTGCCTCCCAGTATTAGATTTTCTTCAAATGAGATGATAAAGTAAAGTCTAACTTCCTGGTCATTGTGGCACTATTCATGAAAGTGAGGATTTTAACCCTGATACATAATGGCTGCTATGCATCACAAAGGTGGTTACTGGGCTTCAGAAGAGGTAAAGGTGGATTCTGTCCTGTTAATAAAGTGCTTTGGGGGCCCTTGCAGTAAAAAATTGTAATATAAATGCAAATATTTTCATGTGCCTAGACTGTCTTGTCTAGTTTATGAAAATGATGTCCTTCCTAGAAACATTCAGAAGATTATGATTAAATCCCTTATAAATGAAGTCAAATGTGCATTGCAAAGACACCTGCATTTGTGTTGAAGCTACATATTTCTGATGTTTGAAAAAACAATAAACCATACACAGATTGAAAATAATTTAAATAAAACTAACATAGAAGCTTAAATTTGGAACGGACACCCCAACTGCTTTCTGTTTGCAATCTGTGCCTTAAAGTCCTTTTTCAGAAACACAGTTAGTGTTTTACTGTAATTCGTTAGTTTGTTTCATGGGCAGTTGCGTATTTCAGTTATGAATTTCTTCAATGATACTTCATTCATGAGTCGATGAGATATAACATAATGGATAATCTTTCATTAGTATTTACTTTTCATTAGTATTTTTATCAGTATTTAAAATAACTCATTTAAATGCATCATGTACCTTACTTTCATGTTTAAATAGCTACAGTACGTGTGTTTATGTGGTCTCTTGTCTGTAGCTGGGTAAGAGATTGCATACTTTATAAGCTTGCAATTTGCTTTTCCTTCTCATCAAATATTGTGCATGA